TTGCTACACACTCTGTTGGGTACTTAGAACTCTATGATAACTCAGGATAATCTCTGAAGCAGTAACGTTATCTTATTTTACAGGTGAAGAAAACAAGGCATAGAGTAGTTGTTAGGTTCTCCCTAAACTGCACAGCTTATAATTGGTAGTCAGACAGTTTGGCTCCAAAGTTGTGCCCATTACTGCTTGGCCTTCACCACACTGGCCTTGTTAAAGCTGTGGGACAGGGGGCAAACCAAGAGAAAACTCTAACACTGGGAGTTCTCTTTAAGAGAATTGCTTTTGAAAGCATGCTAACAGAGAAGGAGTTGAATGTGAACTTGGTGATTACTTAGGAGAAAGTTTAATAGATTCCAGGACCCGGGTGCTTATGGGGGTTGGGAGTTAGGCTGCCTTGGATCAATCAGCTGAGGGGCTCGCATTATTTATTTTTCAAAGATTTATTTATTTTTATTTTATGTGTACTATGAGTGTTTTGCATGCATATATGTGTGTGTACCATGTGGGTGCCTAGCTCTCAGGGAGGTGAGAAGAGGGTGTCAGTAATTCCTGGAGTTAATGGACAGTTGTTAGCTGCCACGTCGGTCCTGGGAACCAAACCTGGGTCCTCTGCAAGAGCAGCAAGTACTCTTAACCACTGAGCCATTTCTTCAGCAAGGGGCTCACATGTTTTAAACTGTGTATTCCTCTTCTGTAAAAGGGGATCTACCATGAAAGTAGTTTAAAATTAAGAGGACTAGTGTGAAGTGCTCAGTCCTGTACTTAGTACATTATAGGAAAAAGAGAAAAAAACCTGTAATTAAGTCAGACACTCCATTTGACACAGTAGGCTCTTGGGGAAGGGACTACATGCCATTGATCACTGGGTCTGCCTATGCTGTCTACAGAAATTTGGAATTAAGTGTCTCCATAAATATGACTACATGGACAGATGCAAGATATGTACTGGAGAGAAAGAAAAGTTTGGAAAATAAGAACAAATGGAACAGCTGATGGAGCTGTAGTGACTGTCCCATGAGCTAAGTATTCTGCATGTGTGTCACATTCTGCTATTAACTTCTTATTAAAGAAGCAAAGTAAGACTTGCAGAGGTTAACTAATAACTTGCTCAGGGTGTTCCATAACTAGGAAATGTCGGAACCTCTGTGTGGTCAAGGGACTCTGGACTCCATGCTCCTTATCACTTGCAACTTGGCATGAAAAACAGGGTTAGAGGCATTTTTTGTAGGCAATTGAGGATGATATGTTTCTACCACCTGCTTTAAAAACCTTACTTTGCATAGAAGGGTATGTATACATTAACTTTAATCTTCATGGTGGTTAGTAATTATTTCAGTGTCATAGTCAATAATTCAAATTTCTTCTTGGGAGTCCCATAATTTGGAAACAACATAACCAGTGTCATTTTCTAAATCTCTACTTGTCCAGTTTGATAATTATCATGTGAGTTGGTAGAAAAAAATATTCACAGTGAACTCAGTTTTGTCAAAACTATGTGAGTTGGCAAGAAATTTTATATAACCAGCTCCAGTCCCATCTATAGTAAAAAGAAACAGGAATCCAGTAACCTACCTCAGAAAGGAGCTGTTTCTTAGAACACTCAAGAGAATCCTGCTTTGTGATCATAGGTGAGTAGAATTCACCCTTAGGAACTTTGTTCCCGGCTGACACTTTTTACTGAGGACTTGTGGTGGGGCTTCAAGGAGTCTTCTGAATGATCAGCATGGCATGGTGTCTCTGCCTCCTTGTCCCTAATCATCTGTGAGTAACAAACTTGGCTTTGAGTATTGTGCTCACTGGGCAATATGACCTGGCAGTGAGGTGATGGGGAAAAGGATCTGACTTATCCACATCTGATATTTGAGAGGACCCTTTGTAGAGCAACAAGAAGATGCTGACTTCAGGCCAAACTGGCTTGGTCAACAGGTCACAGTCAATCAGCATCATGAGGGGCTTGCTGTCATTGAAAGAACTCAACAAATGAAATCAGAAGTACCAAAGTCAAGGTTCAGTGATTTTTGTAACTGGCTCCTTAATCTTGAGAACTTACTCATCATTTCAGGACCATTTTTGTTTGTGTGTATGGGGGACTTTTTGATGAGCCAATGTGCACCAAATAAAATACTACATATCTAAACAATAAGTAGCATAGTAAATCTAGTGTGTCCAAAGTCACTGATAATCCAAATGAAAGTACACACTGCTGGCCCCTGAAGCAGGGATTCTGATTTGTAGATCTGGAGTGGGGTTTGAGAGTTTGCATCTTTGACAAGTTCACAGATGCTGCTGCTGCTGCTGATCCAGAGACTGCGCTGAAAAGACTAAACGCATGGACTGAGAGGAAGATAGTGAAGCTGAATCTAGGGAAGGCACACAGGTCTTCTAGGCCAAGTTCAGAACTTGAATCATATCCTAAGGGACACTGGGAAATCATTAGAATGTCTTGGCTCAGCAGATGTTTTAGAGGCATCAGACCACCATGGAGAGAATAATCAAGAAGGCAGGGAGAACTTGTCTATCCTACAGTCTGAGAGAGCTGGAGGCTTTTCTGAGTAGTTGGAGTGAGCTGTGCAATGTCAGCTGGAGAAGTTGTGAGGATATTTTCCCAATGTGCATGGAATCATGTGGGCTTGGGAAACATTTAGATGGGGGACTGATGATACTGGCAATTGATCGGGGCTGAAATGTGGTGAGCAAAGAGGAAGAAACGAAACAAGATAAATAGACTTGAAAAATCTGATAGGGCAGTATTCTTGGGATTGGGTACTGTAGGAAGCTATGGATAAAAGCAGGATTCTACTTAAAGCTGTGACTGCCATTCAATTATATGAGTTTTCTTCAAAGGGGAGTGACAAAGGTCATGTTTATTGTGAGCAAATGTTCTTAAAGGAAGTTTAGGTTAAAATTTTAGTAGTTCTTTCTAAGAAACATCTTTGTATTGAACAAGGCTCATTTTGCCTATCACATACTGTGCCAATCACCTAAACAAGTTTTACAAGAGTTTATTCTCGAGTTTTACCAGAATTTATTCTGAAACATGGAGGGGGAAGACCCAAGTCTTGAATTCATGTTCCTAGAGATAGGTGTGGGGATACTTATGCGATAAAGAAGCAGTCAGCACATGTGTAATCATCTCATGACTCTTCATGGACCACATGATCCTGTAGCCTTAGCATCAAGTTTTTGGCCCTCTGAGGTGAAAAGATCAGAAGAGTTGGTGGTTCAACTTAAAGAAATTTACTGGGCACTCAGGAGGTTGAGGCAGGAGGATTCCAAGTTTAGAGCCAGCCTGGTCTACACAATGAGATCTTGTATAAATGAAAATAAAATTAAAAACAAAGCTAGAGGGCTTGGGGAGCAATCACAGCATTTCCTCCAGAGTAAGGTTTCTACCTATCAGTCCTCTGAAAGTTTAAAAATTTGTTTTTCTTTCTCTTCTAATCAGAAGCACGATTCCTTTGTGTTTTTGAACTCTGTCAAGAATTCTATGTTTTTGAGTGTACAGCACTTGGCTAGCATGTATGAAGCCCTGAATTTGATCTCTAGTACAGCAAAACAAAAACCAAAAACCAAAGAACTATGAAAACTGAAAGACTAGTTATTAAAAGTTACCAATGGAGGGGCTAGAAAGATGGCTTAGCAGTTAAGAGCACTGGCTAGTCTTGTAGAGGACCTGGATTTGGTTCCCGGCACCCACATGATGGCTAACAACCATCCATAACTACAGTTCCAGGGAATCTGACACCCTCTTTTGACCTCTGTGGGTACCGCAAGACATGGCTACACTTACATACATGCAGGAATATACCCATACACGTGAAAAAAATATTTAAAAAGTTACCAATGATAAGGAAAATTCTGTTCCTTACATATATGGAACTCGAATTCATTAAAAAAAAATTCTTAAAGAAAAAATAAAATAAGAATATTCAGTGAAACAAATACAACACTCTTTAAACATCTTAAAGGGTGCATACATTCACTTGTGGCAAAAAAAATAAAAATGAAAACACTTTGGAAGAAAACTTTTGGAAAGGAGGAGTGCTGGAAATTGAACCCGGGTCCTCTGCAAGAGCAGCCAGTACTCTTAACAGCTGAGCCATTCATCTCTCCAGTTCCCAGTGTCAGTTGTTTTGAATGGAGACTTAACTACCAAATTGCTCCATTCAATATATGATCATAAAAAGATCACCATAAGCTTTTAGCAAAGAGGCAGTTCAGTCTGGAGATCTGCCCGGCAGAGGACAATGGATCATTTGGACCTTGACCACCCCTCCCCTCTCCTTTCCATCCCTCCACTCCCCACCCCCAAGCCTTTAATAAAGCGATTTGAACCCCCCCAAAAGATCACCATAAATAAATGTACAGGATACTTACAGTTTGATAAAACAGTCTCTCATACCCATTAAAGACCCAAATCAGAATTTATTAAAAAGTTTTCTTATATTTCTAAGATAAGCAAAGCATGTGATCATTAATATACAACTGCTCTTGCACAAATAGAATTTCTAATAAATAAAATCAAAAGCAACTTTACTTGATGCCTATTAAGAACAAGGCTTTTTGCTAGCCATTGTTAACATCTTCTAAAATCTAAAACATTCCCTTCTTAGGTTGGGTCCTGAGGTAAACATCTTTTAAGCTGACCTTATTCATCTGTGATTGAATATTTTTCCCTTGGGTAATAGAAGCAGAAAAAAACAAAACAAAACAAAACAAAACAAAAAAACAGTAATTCCCTTTGCCTGAAATGCATATCAAATTCATTCTTACAGACTAAATTGAAAAACAGAAAATCACAAACAGAAAAATATAAATACAAACACAGGCCAAATTGACCAAAGCCCGAGTTTAAGAATACTCCTGCCATTTCCATTTAAAAGTTATTAAATGATTCATTAGAACACAAAACTCAAATTGGCATCTTGAAAAAAAAAAAAATAAAACCCAGACACACTCTACACATTAGGAAAAAGAGTAAACAAACACTAAACACTCACTGATTCTATGGCAGCAGCTTCATGTAATTGCTAATGGTACAGGCTTTGGCATTGTAGATTGATATCCATCCCTCAGGAGGTGGGTGACCTTGAACTCCTTGAAATGTTAACAGTGATACAATATCAATATCTACTCCCTCCAGGCTGCAATTAGGATTAAATAAAATAATTAGTGTAGCTCTTTCTCCTCATTGTTGGGCATTTAGTAACTGACAAATATCTTAATGATGGTGAAACAAAGTTCTTTGATAAGTTATAATGGAGAGAAACACATGAAGGTCACTCTTTAGAAAGAAGAAGTGTTTTTGGAGGCAGAGTGGGGAAAAAAAAATAACCTTCTCTCCCCCATCCCCCTGTGATTTTCATACCTAACCCTAACCAGGCAGGCTTGGAGAGCAAATAGCATCTCTCCTGGCTTCTGGTCACAGCTGTATTTATTGAATTTATCTCCTTAAATGCTTTTATCTCCTCTTTGTATCCAAGGTGGACCTCTTTTTAGGAAGAGAACTGATGGAAGATACCTTAAGAATTGAGAATGCTTAAGGCTTGGCTTGGTGGTATATGCCTTTAATCCCAGCTCTTGTGAGAAAGAGGCAAGTAGGTCTCTGTGAGTTCAACGTCAGCCTGGTCTACAAAGCAAGTTGCAGGCCAGCCAAGGCTTCATTATGAGACCTGGTCTTAAAAAACAAAAGTAAAAATTCAGAATTTAGGCTGCAGTATTCAGCTGTGTTATTATATTTTATTTTTTTTCAATAAAGAGCCCTTTCATATTGAGCGTTCAATGAGAAATCAGCATGGCCATTCTTGTCCAACCCAAACCCTGCCTTTCTGTTCTCCCAAGTCCAAGAATTAAACACAGACAAGACCTGAACTTCGGTTAGTCTTTAATATAATTCCATCCTTTCTACAGTAAACAAAGCTATAAGTACAAACATCAAAACATGATATCAGTAGTTCTGAATACTCACAGTGATGGCCCCTGGCATTTTAAGGAGCTATATAGCTTGACCTGTTTGAATGGATTCAATCATAGTAGGGAGGCAAAGGGGAGACTGATTTTTGTGCAAAGTGCATTCAACTTTATGGAAAAGCAGTTTCTCTGTCCTTGGCTTGGCATAAAACACACAATCCTTTGATGTTAAATGTGCTATCAGAACTCTGGGTGCCTTTCCTTACTGAAATAAAATGGGTTATATATGCAGTATATTTCTGGGTCCACCCTGCTGGTTAAAGTCCCTCAGAATTACCAAGTCATAAGAAGATTAATTTGTTACAAGTTATTGTGCTTGCATGCTGAAAATACAATTTAGAGTTCACAATACAAGGCTCTCTGGTATAAAGTGCCTATGAGAAGTTTCCTGTCATATATGGTCGCCACAGAACTTCCCTGGAGGACAGACCCATTGTTGACATAAACTGTGGTTACTGAAGGCTTCTCGGATAGAATGTTCTGGATGCGAAGAACCTGTCCAGAAGATACAAAGGATGAATACTGCACCCCACACACCCATGTCACTCAGTCACCAATAATTCCTTGTCTTCCCCAATGATACTTAATTATGAAGACAAGCTGCTGGAAACAGCGTTTACCGATCTCTTTAATGCTTAAATGAAAGTACTTTCTAAGCCTTCAAAGAAAGGACCTTTTAAAAACCATCTAGATATGCCATGCCAACACAGGATTTAGTGTGATTACAGCAATTGAGCATTAATAGAAATAGGTTCGCACAACTGTGCCTGCTTCCACTATACTTCCAACATGCACAAAACTCGTCATGTGGTGAGCTGACAATAAACCGGATATTTAAAAAATTGCCAGTATACCACACAAGCAGGGCACATGTCTTTATAAAAATGACTTTTGACTAGTTTCCACCATAATTTAATACATCAAAAGATTACTTTTCTCAAAGCATTTGAACAATGTAACATTCTGCCAATTATTGGCTTAAAGCAATTACAAAACTATTGCACAAGTTTATTGTATTATTGGTTTAAAAGAACTAACAAATCATCCCTGTGACAATTTACTGCATTATTAGTTCAAAAGGATTTGAATAATTAAGGTTGAAGAAATCAAAATATAAAAACCTCTGATGAGGGAGGATGGCTCGGGTCATACACGAAGAGCTTCTGGCCATTAGGGTGACAGCCAACCCAGATGTCGCCCGAGGAAGGATCAATAGATAGATTGTCCACCAGCGTACCCAACTGCAGAACCTTACAAATGAAAAATGTCAATATCTAAACGATGCAAGAAACCTGATTAAATAATTTAGAGCTAACCTCTCCTGCCTCTGTGTGCAGGGACATTACACAAACTGCCTTGTTTTTGCCCTTCTAACACCGATATTGCTTAAAATACATTTAATAAACTGTCTTAGAGCCACTTTCATCTTCTCTGAAAGTAAGAAAGCTAGGGTGATTAAAAAAAAATGACCTCCTTTTGCTTTAAAAGATACGCAATGATCAGGTAGCGCAAGGAACTCCATCAAAGCAAGATGGGAAATTCTTAATCACCCTAAAGTATGTGCTGTTGGCAGACAGAAAATAATAATGGCAGGCAACCCAATTTCTACCTTCATTTATTATTGAAAAAACTGACAATGTGCATAAATCTTCATATGAACAATTCATCTATTAGTCTTTTCAATTGTGAAAATTCTTACTGGGATTCAACAGTCATCAATACTCATGGAACAGCCCTAAACCTGATGCAAATATGGCTTAACCTGTTGCTGCCTGTAATCTCTGTCCATCCTGGGAATAGCTGGAGAAAGATTTTTCTTGCTGGAAGGAGGTGATCTTTTAAAACACATACTAACTTCTTTGCACCCACATTCTATTCTCAGTGTGCTATTGTTAGAGTATAGTGTTGCTATACCACAGCAAAGTGCAACAGATCTATATAGAAGAATATTTACCTTTAATTGAGTCAAATTCATATTAGGTTGCTTTTCCAAAACATGGATTTCATGAGCCAATGTATCAGCAACATAGACATACCTGTTCAGAGAGGACACCCATTAGCCCTTCCTGCCAACACAGAGCTTCTACAGTATAGTATAAAAGAGTAAGTTTTAAAGCCTGCAGAGAAGTTCATCAATGATGTGCTCTCAAGGAATGTTTCAAAATAAGTTTGGTAGTGCTACAATAATCATGGAATCATTATTTTTCAATAGGTTTGTAAGGAAAAAAATTTTTTTTTGGTCTTTTTGAGACAAGGTCTCCCTGTAGCTCCAGCTGTCCTGGAACTCACTATGTAGACCAGGCTGGCCTTGAACTCACAGAGATCCACCTGTCTCTGCCTCCCAAGTGCTGGGATTAAAGGTGTGCACCAAAACTTTTTAGTATGAAGTCTTTAATATTTGCCACTGAAATGACATTAAAAAAATATTTGGTTTCATAAGAAAAAGCATCTGCCTTCTACTACATAATTTAATATTTCTGTCCTGTACATATAGAATTCTATGGTACAGAATACATTAAGTATTCATTAATATGCATTATTTAATAAATAGTAGCACATGGAGAGTTTTACTATTAAGAGGTAAGTATTAATCTAGAAGCATGTGCCTGCACATACTGGGGCAAGTTGATTTAACTCATGGAATCAACTGCTTCGTGGCAAGTATTCTACTGAGTAGTCCTCATGTATGAAGCTAGGAATTCAGCGCTGTGGCAGAAACACACAGGAAAAGGATACAGCTTTGGTCCTAAAACATGCCTAAGTGTTGGCTGGTCCAGACTAGTTTGTACACATAAAAGCCCTAAGTCAACAGTACCTGTATTATGAAAAGAGGGTGTGCCGAGGCAAAGGAGTGTTAGCAAAATATGAGTTTGTTGTCTTATGGGAAGAATGGAAATGACAGAAAAGGGAGAGTGGAACTAGTCCATGACAGAAAGTCCAGATCTTCTCTGCCTTGTTTTGAAAGGCGGCTGGATTCTATTGAACTTTTAGAATAAATTAGTGACTGACAATGATTATGCATGTTCTTCATACCTGGTGCTGTGGTGAGCATGCACAGCCAGAGATGGGACAAGGCTAATGCTCCATAGAAAGATCACTCTAGCCAGAAAGTACAAGATGGCGGTAAGCTAAAGGCAAGCTGCAACACAAATGGAAATGCTAGGTGTGGGGGAAACAAAAAACAGAACAGATTTGGTTGGGTGGGACAGATTGGGTCAGTTAGAGATCTAAACGAAATGAGCTATATTTTTTTTCTGTAATTATAGAAAAAGAAGAATAAAGTGTATCACAAAACAAAAACTCTTATTTGTCAAGGAATGTCAAATTTATAACCTGTCATATTTGTGATAGTGTAAACTGTTCGATGTGATCAGGCAGAAGAAAAATCTAACAAGGAATTTAGTACCCTTTCTTCTAAGTTGTGATTGTGTACACAAAAATAGTAAGAGAATGTCTGGGAAATAATTTGGCAATATCTATTGAGGCTAACATTGAAAAGGTTTGCATTATTTGATCAAGAAGAGTCTGTTTGTAGGAGGTTTGTTAACAGAAATTCAATACAAATATTCAAAGAGGTGGATCTCATAATGCCCTGTAGCTGTATCCTACCTGGGATCTGAGCCTAGGACTGAACATATCCAAAATCATCAAGGATAGTCAATATGATCTAGTGCTACTTTGGGGAGTTTGATGGTAAATGAGAAGTATAAAATTGTTTTCATACAGAAAATAATAAACAAGTTACATATCCTTCAAAGGAGAAATGGTTAAATCAGTTTAGAATCATCCTTATAAAGGAATGATACATAGTCAATAAAAATGATAAAGTAATTTATTATTTTATTTGTTTTGGTGGGAGGTTTTGTAACCTGAAATTTTCCCTTTTTTCTTCTATTTTAAAACTATCGAGCAGGGCGTGGTGGCCCATGCCTTTAATCCCAGCACTTGGAAGGCAGAGGTAGGTGGATCTCTGTTAAAATAATATAAAAGTATCAAATCAACTATTATACTGTTATTTAATATGTAAATTGTATTGCTATACATAAAATTATATATTTAAAAGGAAACATCTGCTTGATACTTTAGTATACATACATAAATATGATTTTACTTCTATATTTATCAATTAAGTTTGGGCCGGGCATGGTGGCGCATGCCTTTAATCCCAGCACTCGGGAGGCAGAGGCAGGTGGATCACTGTGAGTTCAAGGCCAGCCTGGTTTCCATAGTGAATCCAGGCCAGTAGGGGCTACACTGAGACCCTGTCTCAAAAAGACCAAAAAAGAAAAAAAAATTAAATTTGATGATTATATCACATTTAATACATGCATATCCTTTACATATTCAAGATATATTTGCATACCTATAAAACTATACGTAAATATGTCTGATACACGTATATATGAAATACATAAAAATGTCAAATATCATATTTACTTTCATATTTGGAAAGAGAACAGTCTAACGAATATGGCTAACATCACAACTCGGGAGAAACAAAGACATTCTGTAGGAAGCCGTACTTTTTGTCAGGTGAAATATTGATTCCATTGGCTGAATCAAACCCTTCAGCCACCAGCTTAACTTCATCTGGACTGTAATAAACAACATTGGCCCAGTGTAAGTTCAAGTATGTTTCCAAATACTTTAAGAAAGGATCCGAGAAGTAGTGGTCATTGGTGGCATAGAAATGAACTGGTCCAACAGCTATGATGTCATTCACACTAAAAGAGAAAAATAGCAAGGGAGAGAAAATAAAAAACCTGTTGTCTCCACACAGAAGATTAGATAAATTTTTACAAGGTTCACACAACATGCCCTTTGAGTGTTCGGAAGGGGTTTTTCCAAGAAACAGTAAGCTATGGTCACATGAGCCAGGGCCATAGACATGTACTACTGCCAATATTGGAAGGACCAATATCATACCGTATCATGTAATTTGACAAGTCTTTTGGTAACCATGTAGGATCATCACAAAGAACAAAGATTTGGCCAGGTATAGTGGACAGTGGAAACACTTGGAGTCCCAGCACTTAGAAGGTAGAGGAAGGAGGATCCTGAGTTCAAGCTTAAATTGAGACTGTCTCAAAAACAGTTTTTTTCTGTATTTCTGTTTGGATTTATATTTTGAGATGGGGTCTCCTGTAGGCCAGGCTGGTCTACAAATTCCTGTGTAGCTGAAGATGACCTTGAACTTCTGATCCTCTGTCTCTACCTCTTCTATGGTGGTATTATGGGTGTATGCCACTGTGCCTAGCTAAAGGCATGTTGTGCCCCACATACAGTACAGGCTTAACAAATATCTACAAGAACAGAGCTCTTCAGGGTTTGGAGCTGGACAGGGCCTGACTGTCATTAGGTCGTCAGTCACATTTACCTTGTCCCCATTTATTCTTCTACTGGACTTTGCTGAGGTCCATGGCTTAGTCATTAGTCAAACTAAGGTTGACTGTTCAGTTTCTACCTGCCTTGCAAAGCCACCATGCCGAGAATGAGCAGACACTCAATAAACGCTTGCAGAGAGACAGATGATGAAGCAGCCAGAGCCCAGTGCTACAGGTGAGAGATTGATATGCTAAAAACAATTACTATTTCCAACCAGTTAGGCAAGGGTGTTATTAAATTGAAATTCCAATTATCTTATGCAAAAATTTCTGAAAGAGCTGCTTTCTTCTCTGTCAAATAAAAAATACGGAACTACAGGGAAGGTGGGTCTCTTTTTTTTTTTTTTTTTCCTCTGAAAAAGCTCCACAGTGCTGAGGCTGCCCAAATGGTGTTCATGCTCCTGTTCATGATGAAGTTCATTCTGAGGATGAATGCTGGGAAGTTACATTCTGACGACTTAGATAGAGAAGTAGAAATTAAGTATATCCATCAAGTTTAAGCTAAAAGCAGGAGGCTAGTGCAGGCTGGGTTGGGACAATACCCACAAGTGTCCTTAGCCACACTCTCCACCAGTGCCGTTTTTGTAGCAGTGGCCCATTTTGTATGGATCTTATACATATAGATAGAAGGGAATTTTATACTACACAATATATATCTATATACCTACATATATACGTGTGTGTGTGTGTGTGTGTGTGTGTATTTGAGAACTTCACACTGGTATACAATGTATTTTAATTCTACCCACCCCAACTACCTCCTTATATAACTTTTCCTGGCCCCTGGCCCCTACCACATCTCCCTCCCAACTTCATGTCCTCCTCTTTTTTTAAATATCCCCGAGTCCAGTTAGTACTACCCGTATGCACACGGGTACAGGGTCATCCACTAGAGCACAGTCGGCCTACCAGGGGCCATACTGCTAATATAAAGGGATTGTCCCTCTTCCAGCACCCATCAACTGCCAGTAGCTCCTCAGCTAGGGATGGGGCTTCATGAGACCCGCCCCCCCATTCCATGCTGGAATGTTGACTGGTTTAACTTGTGCTGGTCTTGTGTAGGCAACAACACAATGTAATTTTTTAATTGTGCATGAAAGAAAATGCCATGCTGTGAGATTTCTAGTTGTAGCACCATATTGGCTCAAAAAAATTCAGATTATAGGGCATTTCAGGCTTTGGACTTTCAGGTTGAAAATGCTTAACTTGTATACACATACACACATACGTTTATAAATTCTTGAAAAATATACATATATCATATCATGTGTCAGGTTTTATATTGTATATTAGCTAAAATATTCTTGAGCTCTTATAAAAGGTGAGAGGATCACTCACCATAGAGAGTGTTTGAAAATGCCACAGCTCAGTTCATAAAATGTTTGCTATGCATGTGCGAGGACCTGAGTTCAATTCCCACATCCCATGTTTAAAAAAAAAGCTGGATGTTGTGGCCCATGCTTAAAATCCAAGCTGGGGAGACAGAGGCAGGTGGATCCTGGGGCTTCCTGGCCATCTAGCCTAGCCTGATTGGGCGCTCCAAGCCAAAGAGAGACTGAAAAACCAGGTAGATGGCTGCTGAAGAACGACACCCAAGACTGTCTTCTGGCCTCCACATGCACACACCAGCACACACACAGAAAGTGGCAGAGATAGGATGGCAAATGAGAAAAAAGGAGGCAGTACCTTGGAAGGAGCTCATGTTTAATTGTTTTCAGGTGCAACAAAGAATTTTCTTCTTCTTCAAATTTAAAAATTTCCACTGTATTCTTGAATTCCGGGTGGTTTACAACAAAGAGATAAACTGTGTCATCTAAAGGATCAAAAGAGCAGAGACATAACCAGGGGATCTGTGGGCAGGCGCTGACATTTAAACAGCACAGGCAAGGAAAGGTTGGAAATACAAGCTGCTCAGTGCTCTAACAGACCATTCTTGCTGGTTCTTCCCATCTCTGTTGGCCTGGTATTGGTTCTGATCACTGGCCCCCTGACCTTTAAGAAGGAATGGCTCTCACCCCACACATAGAAATAGTGTATAATGTGTTTATAGGTTAATTCAGAGATACAGCTTTTTTATACAATTGATCACAGGTACATGAAAAAGTTATGAAATCTATACATTCTTTTGGCTGTTAACTGTTAGAAATTTCAAAACACAGCATAATGTACTGCTAGTTTAGGAGACAAGTGGACACGCTGTTGGTATGAAGAATGCAGGCGTGTTTCTTGAAGTAGGTGTCCTCTTCCTATCAGGGTGATCCAGGTCTACTTTCCAGAGCCATCCCTGAAGCCCTGCGTATTTCTCACCCTTGGTAGTTCATCAGCTCTTACCGCTGTCTACAAAGGTGCTGATGCCGTGTGGGTTAAACGAAGCCAAATCGAAGCCCCGGCTGACTCTTAATTCCAGTGCCCTCGGCTTTTCCTCTTTGAGATCCATCATCAGTATCCCTCCAAACTTATCTGGTGCAAAGCTATGGAGACCTGGAAACTTCAGACCCTTTCCAAAACAGTGGGAAAAAATGAAACACAAAAGCTTAAGTATCTTCCTGGACTAGTTGGGCACTTTACATGAATAATAAGCACAGACATGGGTGGCAGCAAAGAGCCACAAAGACAAAGAAAAAGGCGGGGACAGACAGCCAGGAACATGAAGGAAACAGAGAGCAATAAGAGAAAATCATTGGGATCTGAAAAGATGAAAAAATGGATGGTTCTGCTGAGCTCTGACACCATGGGATTTGTTTTCTTGAAAGGTTACCAGAAGGTGGTGGGCTGAGGGATTCCAGGGACAGCTGAGGGTCAAGCAGGTAGACATTCTCATACTAACTGTGGATTCCCACCCCAGGCCTGCACTGTTTCTAAGGGACTAGAAGGCTTGGGCAGCAGAGATAATTGTCTCACATCTCATCTAACAGCAAACCCTGTTGATGTTACCTTGCAAATATATCCCTTCATATTGATATGGGCAGTTCACCTATCTGCTCCATGGCTATCCCACCACACTCAGGTCCAGGGAAAGAGCTCTTTTGCTTCTGCCCTTACCTCCTCCGATCATGTATGGTCCTTCAGCATCCAGATTCTGTCAGATTATGACACCACTTTGACCAAAATTCTCTAATGGGTTCCCACCTCAGTCTAATTACAAGAAAAGATTTTTTTTTTTTAAGACGGGTTTTTCAGATGGCTTGGAACTCCCTATGTTGATGAGGCTGGCCTGGATCTCACAGAGTTCTGCCTCCCTCTGCCCCTGAAGTGCTGAGATTAAAGGCATGTGCCACCACACCTGGATTATTTATTGATTTTTAGTTTATGTATATGAGTGTTTTGTCTGACCAGAAAGTGCAGATCTCCTGGAACTGGAGTTATAGACCTTTGTGAGCTATCATGTGGGTGCTGGGAACTGAACTGGGGTCCTCAGCAAGAGCAGCCAGTGCTCTTAACTGCTGAGCCATCTTTCCAGTCTCCATCATACATATTCTTGTACCAATGTAACACTTCTTAAATCACCACGAAGTGCATGTGCTCTGCATGGAACATTGCCAATTCTCATTTGAGTATGGGGAAGCCCTGGCATTCTACACGTTCATTTTGAACCCAACTCTCCTCTTAGTAACAGTCTCTTAACTGAATCTCTGGATTGTTTAAAATTAACAGAGAACCACATTATCTGAAAATAATGGCCATTTTTGTCTTTTGGGTTCTATCCCCCATTTCTTTTTCTTGTTTTATTAGGTTATTAAGAACAATTGATTGGTGATGGTTGTACGGATATTGAGCCTTTCCTTCCTCTTCAGAACATCAATGGGAACACAGCTCATGTTTCACCATTAAAAATGATGCTTACTGTAGGTTTCTGGGAATTTCCTCCTCTATTTCTAATTTGCTTGGAGCTTTTAATTAAGTATTGAATTTTATTTAAAGCTTTTTTTTGGCACTTACTGAGATGATCTAGGTGGTTTTTTTTTAAATCAGTTACTTAATAAATCATCTGGCTATCTATAAAATTCAGATTCATCCTTTAATTCTTAAGGAAAGACTTATTGGTTATAATAAATTGTATGCGAATTCACGAGTGTATTTAGTTTACTAAAGCAATATGGTCATATTTTATGTAAATTTAAGGGTGTAAGAGGAAATTCTTTGACTTTTTTTCTTTTCCAAAAGCATTTTATTAACATACATTATACAAAATAATGGGTTTCATTGTGGCTTTTTCATACATGCACATCATATGTTGATCACCTTCCCTCCCCTCCCCTGAGCCCCTTCTAGTAGTTTTCCCTCTTCTCTTTTCATAAAATTTAGGTTCTACATATGAAGGCAAAAATGGGAGATGGGTCTTTGTGAGTCTGGCTTAATTTGAATACTTTTACCCTGGCAGGCCCAGTAAGTAATATGAACTTCAGCTGTATTACTGCAGTGCTGTACAGCAGTGCCATGCCAGCTGTTCATAATCTCTCTTCTTACTAAGTCCCCACAACAGCAGTGTGCTCTTCATGAACAGGCAGCACTGCCAGATATGATAATATTCACAGTTATTTTAACACCTCCTAGTATTTTTACCCTTTTTCTGTTTTAAACTTTTAGTTTTAATTGCATCAAAATACAAAAAACATAAAATGCACCATCATCACCTCTTTGAAGGGATAGCCCAGCAATGGTACACACATTCACCTTGGTGTTTGATCTTTGTTCTAGTCTATTCTGTGTCATTTAATCCCTCATCTAGTGTGATGTTGGTTTTGTGGGGCCCCTCAAACCCATACCTTTGGAATAGGCTGGGTGAGGGGAAGTCAATGCCAGGAAGAAGAAAATCACCCACCCTGTGATATAGGAGGTACTCATTTAGACTGTGCTGGAGTAAACAAAAAATACCCTATAAAATATATAAAAAAAACCTTCCATATACCAAGATAACCAAGGATGGAAAATGAAAAAAACAAAAAACAAAAGCAAAAATAAATAAACAACATTAACATGGCTGCAAGATCAATGTGTGACAAAGGCAAGACTCAGCTTAAATGGATGGGGATTGGTGTGCTTGGAGTCCTGCTCCTTCTTGTTCAGATTTATTCCTTTCAGAGTAAAACTCTTAAAATAGTTAAGTTCTAAAGTCCCAAGAACACATCTTTGCAAACAAACAACAAAAACAAACAACAAAAGCGCAATGCAACTTTCTCCTTGCATCTCTAGTTATGATTCTGACCAGAGGCCCTGGTGCTTTTTCCTAACCTTTTCTGTAACAGGCTCATCCTTCGTAACAAACCCAGAGTGATACATCACCTGATTCATTCTGTGTAGGCAATTAAAGTTTTCCTTTAAAACTCTATTTTTTCATTAACTATAAATATCAGTGTTTCTGCTGAAAGCCAGGGTAGTTCTCTTTCCACTGGTGGTGATAACCACTGCTCACAGTCTCTGTAAAAACCACCAGGAGCATGTAATGGCACACGGCTTTAATCATAGCACTCAGGAGGCAGAGGCAGTCTGGTTTACACAATGAGTTCCAGGCCAGCTGGGGTTATAGGGAGACGGTGTCTGAAAAAGACACGGTTCCCCCCCGCCCCCCAAAAAAACCCACCAGGAACCTAAGAAGGGCTCCAACCCTCATTCTCTTCCAAGCTGAGTTCTCTCACCTGACAACTATTTTATTAGTATTGCAACTCTCTTCTAAAGTCGCTCCAAATTTCTTTACATCCTGAGTGCCCCTCTGAAATCTCCGGGCCTGACAAGAATGACTCCTGAGAAGGGACATAAGAACTAGCGGGAACTTTTGGAGTCAGATACTTCTTCCTCAAGAGAAACTGGATTAAGAAGATGTTGAAAAGCTCTGCCTTGTGGCCAAGCTAAGGAAATGAAGTTAGAAACCCTCAGCTGCCTACTGTCTATATTCCCAATTAGAAGGAGTATCAGGGAAGGCCAGTAGCTTATGGGTGATGGGTCTGAAAGTCTATCTCTCGAATGTTCAGAAGGGATATTATTCTTCAGTTTATAAGAATGAAGGCAAAAGTGAAGTGTGAGAACAAAGTCAGGTGCTGACTTTCCATTTACGCTATTCAGAGGGAAAGAACAAAAAGCGTGAGCCTTGGTTTGGGAAAGTTGGCATACTGTTTGAACTAAATATTACATAAGCATATACGTAAAAGTGAATATGCTTAACAGGGGACACAGAGTGGAAAGGATAGATGCTCTGTTGATAAGAGTATAGCAGTATTATCTAATATCCAAGTAACATCCAAGTGGGACCTCAAATCCTGGGGGGGGGGGGCCTGTGTGTGTGTCTGTGTGTGTGCGTTTGAAGGCCCAAAGTTGATGTTGGGTATCTTTCTCAATTGTTTACCATCTTAATTTTTTTTAATTAATAAATTTGTGTGTTTGTATATGTATGTGTGTGGGCTATGGCACACATGTGGCAGTCGGAGGACAACTTGTGGAGTTGGTTCTCTCCACCATGTGAGTTCTAGAGATCAGACACAGGTTGTCAGGCTTGGAGGCAAGCATCGTTTTTTAAGAAAAAAAAATTATTATTTTCATTTTATGTGGATGAATATATTGCCTGCATGTATGTAAGTGCAACTGTGTCATGCAATGCCCGCAGAGGTCAGAAGAGGGTGTTGGATTTCCTTGGAACTGGAGTTACAAAGAGTTGTCAGCCACCATGTGGGTGCTGGGAATCAAACCTAGGTCCTCTGTAAGAGCAGCCAGTGCCCTTAACCACTAAGCTATCTCTCCAGCCCAGAGGCAAGCACCTTTACCAACTTTGCCAGCCCTCACCATTTTATTTTATTTTAATTTTCTTTTTCTTTCTTTCTTTCTTTCTTTCTTTCTTTCTTTCTTTCTCTTTCTTTCTCTTTCTTTCTTTCTTTCTTTCTCTTTCTTTCTCTTTCTTTCTTTCTTTCTTTCTTTCTTTCTTTCCTTTCTTTCCTTCCTTCCTTCCTTCCTTCCTTCCTTTCTTTCTTTCTTTCTTTTTTTTTTTTTCTTTTTTTGAGACAGAGTCTCCCTGTGACCCCAGCTGGCCTGGAACTCACTATGTAGACCAGGCTGGCCTTAAACTCAGAGAATCCGCCTGCCTCTGTCTCCCAAGTGCTGGGATTAAAGGTGTGAGCCACCACACGCAGCCTCACTTTATTTTATTTTTAAGCCAGGGTCTCTCACTGAACCTAGAGCTCAGTGACTCAGCTAGACAGCTGGCCAGGGAGTCTCAGGGGTCCTACTGCCTCTACCTCTCCAGTGCTGGCATGACAGATGCACAACACTGTGCCCATTTGTTTTCTGTTTTATTTAGTTTTTTTTTTTTGTTGTTGTTGTTGTTTTTTAATATGGGTGCTAGAGATCCAAACTCAGGTCCTCATGCTGGCACAGCAAATACTTTACCAACTAAGCCATCTCTTCAGCCCTCAAATATCTTTTATAGTAACATACTTTTAAAACACAGATTGTACTGGAACATTCTAGAGCTAAGATACAACAGGGAAGCAAAGGCTAATCAGTCAATTGACAAAGGCTTTTCACCTCTATATTCAGAAAAGATTTAAGATTTAAGAATTTTCAAATCCAGCTTGATCTATCTTTTTGTCAGAACTTACTTTGAGATGCGAGGAATTTAAAATCTGTTACTATTCCATGGGCTTAAATGTCTCTCTGACTGCACATGCGGCAAGAAGGTGGTACTCACCACACTCAAGAAAGCCAGACCATTGGGAAGCACATCGATGTCTTCAGCACCAGCTTCTGAAAGTTCAAGGAGTAGGTAAATGTCATTTTCAAATTCTGCTCTTAGGTAAAGATGACATAACAGAGACTTTGTTTCCTTTATCTGAGTGTCTCTTTCTTTGGGAATGCCTCCAATTTATTTTCCAAGGCACCAATCTCTTTAATAAACGTCAGTCTAAACCCTTTCCTACAGTGAACTTCTGACTTTAAATGCTAGATATTTCATGTTTACTCAAATCAAAGTCAAGTTATCACCACATTTCCAGCTATGATACAGAACGAGTTGACATCTGCACACTTCTAGGGTAAACATCCAGATGTCTGTACAGAAGTAATTGACAACAAGGGAATATTACTTTCACAAGGAAGGGCCCATAGTCATTTAACCATGCAAATTTCCCTGTCCCCCTCTCTGCTCATGCAGTCTGAAGCAAAAAGACATTTTTCTTATTAACAGAGAGAAAACACCTGGGATTACATATTCCCTCCTTAAAAAAACAGTACACTTGTTCTCATAAGCAAAGAAATCTTTCTATTTAGTCTTTAAATTATAGGAAAAACTAGCAAAAAGAAAATTAATGAAAAGTATCATGGAGCTAAGCCCACTGAAGCTTCAAACGCCTGTCTCTGAGGCAGGCTACAATTACTATTGATTGTTTATTGATTGTACTAAGTACCCTCCACATAACACAGCAAATAATTAGACATCAGACCTTCCCAGTGGTCTCTCAATATAAATTCCACAGACAGATAACAGATCCGAACACAAGGAAAGAATAAAAATGGCTTAGATTAAGCCAAATCATGACACATTCTTTCTAGTCCACAGATCCAATCTTCTTCCTTAAGACCATGCCAAAAGATATTTCTGGCTGAGAATGTTTCAAGATTGTCAAAATTGAAAAGCATCTATGCCCGCCATTTTGATGTTGATTCATGACTTTGCACGCAGCAGGCTGCTTTCACTGTCTCTTCTTCTAGCATAGAGTGGGGAAACAAAGCATAATTAAGAACAATGACCCATCTGCCTGGTCCCCAGAAAGAAGACCTTATACCAAGAATCTTAAGAATGGAACTGTGGTGGGGGAGGGGCCTGTGAGTCCCTGTAGGGTGGCAAATTGGCTTGTTAGAATCCATGGACCTGCTGAAGTTCTGTGCGCTGCAAAATGTTTTGTGTATGAGCAGATAAGAACTTTTCTGTGACAAGGTCCTTGGTTTACAGCAGAGTAAAAACAAAACCAATAAACATGTCTGCAGTATATCCTAAATGATTAAGAACCACTAGACTCTCTGGTGTGCCCGACCTTTTGACATTGGGACACCATGTTGATTCTGTCATCTACAAAGTCCATGCTTGAGTTGTAAAAAAAAACAAAAAAACAAAAAAACTAGAAAATTTCTCTCTCTCTCTCTCTCTCTCTCTCTCACACACACACACACAAATATACATTAATGAAAACAAATATTTTTCAAAAATCCTTTCTTGGGGGCTGGAGAGATGGCTCGGCAGTTAAGAACACTGGTTGTTCTTGCAGAAGACCCGGGTTCGAATCCCAGCACTCACATGGCAGCTAACAACTGTCCATAACTCCAGTCCCAGGGGATCTGACAGCCTCTTCTGACCTGTGCAGGTATTGCACGACACAGGTGCACGTACCTACATGCAGGCAATACACGCACACACATAAAATAAAAATAATAAATAAAATTAAAAAATATCCTTTCTCTAGAAATTTCTCTCATGTAGCATCTGCTTTGTCGCCTCTTACTATCTCAGCAATCATCTATGCATGTGAAAGAAGCCAGAAGCTCTCTGAGCCCATACTCCCGTTTCCCTCTTAACTATGCCATCACAACTTCTTGCTGATAGTGATGACCACGTGTCTAAGTTCAGGCCAGACAAGATGAATGCAACTGCTGGGCAAAATAAGATAAAAATATCCATGTGTATTCTTTGCTGTCCTTTCCTGCTTTAAAATGGCAACAAATAGGCCTTTATTCTTGGACCAAGATAGAGGCCATACACTGCAAACAATTGCATTACCTTGTTAGCCTGTGTCCCTAAAAGACCACATGAAGAGAAGTCATTCAATCACCCTGGGCCATTTGCTTACTGCTGGACTATGATATAAGAGAAAAATAAAAGCAAACTACTTCTCTTAACTGTTGTAACTTTATAACAGCAAATTAGTCCTTAATAAAGCCAACAGAGTGTGCAGTATATACTGTAACCTATTACTTTCCCTTCCCCACTCAACTCCCCATTTTTGAGAGAGAATCTTATTCTGAAACTCCCAGCATAGACCAAGGTGGCCTTGAACTTACAGTGCTTCTCCTGCTCCTTCCAAGCACCCTGCTACTTTCCATGTTTGATTGTCACTACTGTGATATAATCACTCAGGGAAAAGAGACTGTACTGAAAAATAATTTACAAAGTTACCTAAACTCTCTGCTCAGGTTCTTAGCCATTATAAAAAGAAAAGAGAAAATATACATCTATATCTCACAGTGGATTTGGGTTTGTTTTCCTCTCTCCTTGTCCATGGGTAGATTATAGACTATTTAATGGTAAAGGTTATAAATCTTAATGCTGTTCTTCCACGCAGCAATTATGGTACAAGTCTTGGCTGCCAAGTTTATAAAACTATTGATTAACTCAAGAGAGAGACCATTCAAAAGTTTGTCTTAGTCTTTAACTCTGAATGCCAAACACTTGGAAAATAAGATTGTTTAAATCTCAAGCTAAGCTCAAGCTAACTGCCATTATATTTTTTATTTTGTAGGTGTTGATATTATACTAACTCTTCTACCTATAAGATAGACTTTGGACAATTTTAAAGTGCCATAAGTAGTAATCCTACTTTCATTATCACAGAAGACACACATCCTGTGTGGTATGTAGTCAGTAATCGTTATTTATTAAGAAAGGCATCATGATATGGTACATAAGATATGTATATAAACACCTAAGAGTTTCACAGAGTTCATTTTTAAAGATGGTGAATGCAACATTGGGGAGAGAGAGAGAGAGAGAGAGAGAGAGAGAGAGAGAGAGAGAGAACAAGCAAGCAGGAAGGAGTCTCACCTCTTGAATGAATTAGCTTCAAGCACACTACTAGAGTTTCCTAAAACAGATCCTCCTTACCCTTGCTACCTATATAACAAGTTGCTTTTGTCTAAACAAGGATGTTTGTCCAGCACACTGCTATTCCTTGTAAATCAAAGAGCACTGGATAAGTAACTGTTGTTAAATACATACAACCATAAGTTATTATTAACCATTACACATCACTAACATGGCATTCAACACATATTCATTTGGTGTGTACTAACCACAGGGCAAGAGCAAAAAAGAAAGAGAAGAACAATTGTAATTAGATCTAAAATGTATCCCAAATGTGCTTCTAATCGCTCATCTTTTCCGCTCTGGTGTTGTCTGAAGAGCCTCAGAGGCATTAAACACTTCAGGAGAGGGGCCATGGGCGACATACCTCCTCCTTTGTGCCAATTCCAGACAGCAGCTCACACACATCACAACATAAAGGTCACAAACACAGACAGACGCCTGTTCAGAATACAAATGCTGCTAGGCTTGTTTTTTTCAGAGGCACGCTCCGTCCCAGTGAGGTGTAACAGGAACATATTTGGCAGTTTTTCCAGTAATGTATCTGGTTGTGCCCTATTGTCTACTCTGAGACTGGAAATCATAGAAGGTAGACTTCACAGAGTCAAAGGCTGTTTAATAATGTGGCAGTTATTAACTCGATAGCAAGAGTAACCAGAGAGATCAGTGACCCAGCCTCCTACTCTTGTCCAACATCCCTCAGAGATACCTCCTGGCTCTTGCTAGAGCAGTTCTGAGGCACTCTTTTTGATTGCTGCCAGAAGACAGAAATGAAGTAAACTATTGGTTTACTTGGGAATCACACCATTTTTCAGTTCTAGAACTCGTTGCATTATCCAGCACAAATCAAATCAAGTCAACCAGGTTTTCCATGCTGAGTCTGGATCCTCCTCTCTCCAGTGTCTGTATGACAGCCTGAAAGAGAAGAGTTTCCTAGAGCACCATGCAGTGTAGGAAGAAGAAGCTAGGACTAGGAGAATACAAAATCAGCGATGAAGAAAAGACACCAGGGGGCTGGAGAGATGGCTCAGCAGTTAAGGTGTTCTTCCAGAGGACTCAGGTTCCATTCACAGTATCCACGTGTTCCCCCTCTTCTGACCTCTGTGGGTACTACATGACAAGGGTGCACTTAAATACATGCAGGCAATAAACTCATAAAATAAGAATAAATAAAATAAAAAGACAGCACCTATGAGAAAAAAATATCTGAGAGAGAGAGAAAGAGAGAGAAAGAGAGAGAGAGAGAGAGAGAGAGAGAGAGAGAGAGAGAGAGAGAGAGAGGGGGG